CTTTCGATCGAATCGACAGTGTCGCCTCTGACTCCTAATTCGTAATCCAGAAAAGAAATTGCAGAAACAAGAGGAGAATCACTCTCCGTTTGGTTTACCTGCAACGACGGAGATGTTTTTCCCCTTGTATCGCTCCACGAACATGTCAATCGCGTCCTTGAAGGCCTTTGGCTGGAGCAACAGAGTGGTAATGTCTTGGAACATGATACCTGCAAGAGCCATCGCTAATCGCGCATCAGAAACCTAGAAAATCGTCAGAAACAACAGAGAAGAAGAAGAAGAAGGACCTGGTTTGGGGAAATCAGGAACGACGCGGATACTGGTTCTAATGCCATGGATGCGAGGATCTTCGTGTTTAATGGCGGACATTGCGTGGTTTCAGATGGCGAAGAAACGGCAATCTGTGCGTGGAATCGTTGAGAGAAAGAAGGAAAATCCAAAAGGCGTTGGGAAGAGATATATAGTGCAGAGCAGAGCAGAGAGCAGAGGAAAAAGGGTGACAGTGATGGATGAGAGAGAGAGAGGAGGGGGCAGATCCCTCTGCAATGCAATCTTAAAACAGAAGAATTTCTCTTTCATCCCAAGAGAAAGAGGAGGGAGAGAGAGTTTTGGATGAAATATCATTTATTATATCTCAAGACTTTCGTTTTGGTGCCTTGATGCTCCAATATTTCTTCTCACTAAATGTCTTAAAATATATTTAAATTGTAGAGATCAAAATACTCGTTTCTAAAATGCACAAACCACGTTTTCAAAGTACGTAAGAAAAATGAACTAAGGTCAAAAGTATAAAGATGAAAATAATATTTAAACCTACAATTTCGATCCTTAATACTTTTCAATTTATTTATTTTGGTCCATAGTTTTCGATTATTGTAAGTGGATATTTTGATCTTACGAGTGCAAACAAAGTCTACATTGATTAAGAAAGAGATTGATTCATGGTATATATATATATGAGGATAATTAGCTCCATGAGACATTTTGGATGAAACTAAAAAAACTGTGAGAGTTATGTCCATAGTGAACAATATCATATTATTGTGGAGATATTTCCGACACATTGTTATCCTTAAGGATCACTCGTGGGAACCTGGTGTCAACCACTATTTCACCCTCATCCACAATTTTGTAATGACTATAAAGGTTCACCAATCACTCATGTTCGGATATTGTCCGTTTTAGGCATAACTCTCACGGAAACCAAAAAGGTCTCATACTAATATAAATAATTGTCCTAATCATGAATCAATTAATATGGGAGTCCTTAACAGACAATGAAATATCCAAATCAACTCATATAACGAGGTCCCCGACATGATTCCCAACAAGACCCTCTTTAAGGTAAGCGTGTTTGTCGGAATATGAGGCTACGCAAGATAAATATCAATATTCACGGGTTCCATCTCAAAATCAATTGACAATGAGAGAAGTAGCCATATCTATTATAAACCATTATTAGATACCTTTTCTTTTCAATATGGGATCCTTAACCGACTTTATCACAAACAAGTAGGTCAAAAGGCTACGAGAGTTTAAACCACCTTTCGTAGTTTGAGGTTTTGGGTCTGATGGTAATTTACACTTAGATTTTCTAAATCATTTATAAGACATTAGGATTAACGAAATTAGATTCTACCCTTTGATTTCAAGGCCTTTCAAGTCACCCATTTCACTTAACCTTTGCTACATTGTTGGCTACTCATCTCAATGAAACAAATAAAATAAGTAAATAAATAGATAAAATTAAAATAATATTTGTTCCTGAGATTTGAGATTAGTGTATATTTGGTTTTTGAAGTTTTAAAAGAGATATTTTTAGTCTCTGAAATTTGAAAAATAGTTCTAAATGATTCTTCAGGTCATTTGACCGTTAATTGACTTAACGACAAGATGATGTGGTAACTAATAAGTGCCTGAACTTTACTGAATTGTAAAAATATATTAATTCTTACATAATTTTGTTTTTTTGATGCGGCATTTTCTTCCATTCCTCTTCTCTCTTTCCTTCTCCCATCTTCTTCTTTGATTGTACTCTTCTTCTTGCCATCGCAGTATGCTCATTGTCGCCTATTTGTTATCGTAGACATGGTGGTGGCAAGAAAAATAGGAGAACCAAGGAAGAAGAAGAGAAGGAAAGATAGAAGAGGAAGGAGAAAAAATGCCACATCAAATAATAAAATTATGTAAAAAAAATTAACATTTTTTTAAAACTCGTCAAAGTCCAATCACTTATTAATTGTCACATTATCTTTCATTTAAATCAACCAACACTCAAATGACTTCAGGTACCATTTAAAACAATTTTCCAAACTTTAGAGATTAAAAGTGTGTGTCTTTTGAAACTTCAAAAACCAAATAGACACTAGATCAAATTTTAGGAACTGAAAATGTATTTAAAAAAAAAACATCATCAACACCTTTTAAAAGTGATGTGAGATCCACAAGCATTAAATAAATATTTATAAAAATACTAGCGTGAAAACATATTTGAATTTTTAGTCAAATTTAAAAGACAAAAACTATATATATATATATATATATATACTTCTTTTCAAAATTTGGCCTAAACTTTGAAAACGTTTATAAAAACTATATAACAAAATAAAGGAACACATAGTTCCCGCGAAACGAAGATCATTCGCTTGGCCTAAACTTGGCCTAAACTATATATATATTTTTTTCTTCTTTTCAAAATTTGGCCTAAACTTTGAAAACGTTTATAAAAACTATATAACAAAATAAAGGAACACATAATGAAAAAACTATTTTTAAGCGTAATTTAAAAAGTAGAAAATAAAAAACAAAATGGTTATCAAACATGACCTAATAAATAGAAAAAATATTTTTAAATCAACAAAATAAGCCTTTCCCTTTTTTTAAATAAGTTAAAAATTCAAGTTATTAATGTCATGTCTATATTGTTGGAGGCAGATTATCACATGTCAAGTATCAACGTCAGAAACCATTCTTCTCCATGAAGATAAGAAGAGTGAAATGAACCTTTTCAGATTGGTTCAAGTCTCTGTACACCTCGGTAGTGGAAGTCGAGTTGAGCCACGTATGACTGTCCAGACCACCTCTGTTAAGCATGAGTCGACCTTGAAAAGCACTTGCAAGCGCAAAGCGAATGAGGACGATGTTCTCTGACAAGACGTCGTGTTTTTCGAACTGTCGAAGAGTCGTTAGAGTACTGTCAAGAACTCATCTCTATAAATAGAGATCTCTACCACTCACGTAGGATACGCAAAAACATATTATCTCTCGAATAATATATATTAAAAATATTTTATTGACGATATAATAGGTAGTATTGATGACAAATTCATAGTCATATAAAGATGTCGGATGAAAATGTCCACTGGTCCAGACCTAATTTGAAGTAAATATCGGGTGAGGGGTTGGTGCATTGAAATAATTGAAGCTCAATTTCCAAAATTCCTTTGTTGGAAATCAAAGCACATTAAATTGTTATTCTGTATTAGCTGTTATTGCCAAGATCTTTTGGCAGCTTTGTTAGCTAAGTGGTCCAATCAATCCATTTAATATAAATTGAAAGTTTGAAAATGTAGTTGCATTTCTTATACTCTATGCTTTCTCCCATGCCAAGTTGCCAACCAATTATTCAATTTCCTCCCCTTTCAAACTTATAATACAAAGTTATATTTAATTGATTAATTTGTTAAATGTAGTTTATTAGATGTGTCTCTCGTGCCAATAATTTATAACGCCACTCGTTAAATGTAATGAGTAGATGAGATTAAGAAATATTTTTCAAAAAAAAAAAAAGGAGATTAAGAAATCGAATTAAAATCACGATATTGACACAAATATCTAAATGTATAAATAAATATGTATAACTTAAGGATGTTATTACTTTGGTGGTAGATTTTTTCCTTTTTGCACTTGGAGTCACTTATTAGCCATCGTAGTTAGGCTAATTTACTTATTAAATATTATTATAGTATAAATGAAAATATTATTTCTTTGATGATATGGTAGAAAGACAATTACTAGAATACTTTATCTTATTTATAACTAATTATAAATACATTAAGTTTTTTTTTAGTACAATATATGAGGTGGAGATCGAACTCACAAGACTACTAAGCTAGGTTTGTTTTGGCATACACGAGAATTAACATATATATATATATTAACTAATAATGTTTTAAAATTATTTTTTATTAAAATAAAATAAAACAAATTTATTTTATTACTATTGAGAGATTTTTTTTTAATTTCAACTACTTATTAAATATTAATAAATAATAAAAATAAAACAATTTATTCAATGAGATTATCCATTCACAGCGGGAGTGATTTCTAAATTTGAGTTGGGTTCCACTAATTGATTCAATTCATACGTTTTAGTAAATACCATAAGAGAGTTTCGTCTCATTATTTCGTTCTCATTAAAGTAAACAAGGTCTAAAGGAAAGATAGTTAGGACTGTGAAGTTTTAATCAAAAAAATTCCACGAAGAATTGATTGAAGGGTCCTTTAAATTATGATACTTAACTCTCGTGGGAGTATCTTTCAACTAAGGCCCAATTTATTTAACACGAGAAGGATGATAAAGAATTAAAATGAAAATCAATTAGAATAAGAATGTTTATTTCTTTGACGTTGTTTATTATAAATTTTATCGAATAGAAATTAGAAACCTATTGATGTTGGTTTTCTCTATCGAATCGAAATAGAAATAAGATCTATATCAATTCACTAGAATACTTATTTCTTAGAGTTAATTACAAATACAATAATGCTAATATTATTTTTAATAAAACAATAATAAAATTTAATAAATTTATTACTATTTTATTGATAGTAAATATTTTTTTATTATAACTATTGATCTAATATTAAAAAATAATAAATTATTAAAATAAAATTACATCTATTAAAAAACATTAATATAATTTTTATTAGACATTGTTGTGTTCCCAAAACCTAGGTGAATACAAGTGTAAGTATACCTACCCGATTGTAGTATAAACAAGGTCGAAATCCACAGGAACTAAGGATATTACTCTAAGCGTGCACTTAAGACTAAAAAAAAAAAATAAAAAATAATGAATGGTTGTATAACTAGAACTAAGTAAAATACTATAAAACACAAAAAAAAAAAAAAAATTCCAAGAGAGAAATACTGTAATAAAGGTGAATTAAGGGAAACATAAATGATATTAAGACGGGGGAGACTCCTTTAAGCTTCGCTTACTCACAGAGGACGCTCTAGCATAAAATCGATTCTGATGCTCATAAATCGACGCGGTTCCATTCCGAAACACCCAAACATGAATATCTACAACTTCTGTTGCTAAATACCCAATCAATAAGAACGGTTTCTAAGTATGGTTAGGGGACCTTATTTGTAAGTATCCACAAATCTACTAAAGAAAAGTAGTTAATCCACAAATAGAGCTAATCACGCTACCTATATACCCTTTCGAGTCATACAAAAGCAAGCAAACTGGTAACTGTGGCTAGCAAAATCAACAAGATGAAAATATAATAGCAGCTATATTTAACAACAGCAAAAATATGCTAGAAAGCCTCTGTTCATAAGCTACAGGGATCTCTTGAAAATGGGGTTTAGTTC